GATCTCGGCTCACTGCAACCTCCACCTCCCAAGTTCAAGCGATTCTCCTGCCTCAGCCTCCCAAGTAGCTGGGATTACAGGTGTCTGCCACCATGCCCAGCTAATTTTCGTATTTGTAGTACAGACAGGTTTCACCATGTTGGCCAGGTTAGTCTCAAACTCCTGACCTCAAGTGAGTGATCTGCCCGCCTTGACCTCCCAAAGTGCTGAGATTATAGGTGTGAGCCACTGCACCTTGCCCAATGCCCTTTCTGAAGGGACATCATGAAGGATGGGGTCCTCTAGAGGGCTTTGGAAATTCAAGACATGGGACTTCTTCCAATCCAACTCTGACCACTTTCCCTGCTCTATCATTTCCTGGGGAAAATGATTAGATCGCTTCACTGTTCCCAGATATAAAGTGGGAGTTAGTCTATGTATGTTATGGGGAAGAAATGACCTATATTAATTATCTGACACCACTACTCGACCAAAAAGGCAAATGTGTGCTTTTTGCTTACCTGCTTCACTGCATCCAGCAGTCGCTCCAGCAGAAATTGTCTTTTGTCATTGTTCTGTGATCCTAAAATGGAATGAGGCTTCATTAGTTCTGCTTGATGCTTGTCTTCTATTAAGACTTTCTGACATTATGGTACATGGTTGTCCCCAATTAGATCAGTCCATTGCTACTGATATTTAACAAAATCAATACCATGACCAGGTACCAATAATCTATAACATTACAATGAAGTTTGCCCACTGCCTGTTACTGCATCAAAGAAAAACAGCTAAACTAATTTTCCCCAAATTTGAAGAACACGGCTAGCATGGTCTAAGGGCTTCTCAACCCTTGGCATTACTGACATTGTAGAATGTTTAGCAGCATCCCTAGCCTCTACATACTACATGCCATTAGCACACACAAACCCTGAGTTATAACAAAAATGTCTCCATGTAATCCCGTATGTCCCCTGGGAATCAAAACTGTCCCCAATTGTCAACCAGCAGCCTAAAATAAAATATGTTTCCCAACACAATGGGCACTGCTCACTGGCTGATCTCACTACCATCTCCAACATCCTTTTTCCATGCTACCTTCAGCAATCCAAGCTGAAAAACCTGATTACTCCTTTTCTCAGCAGCTGAGTCTGAACTTAAGCAGTCTGGCCAATGAGAAGCCAGCAAAAGTTTACAGGGAGAGTTCTGGGAAAGATTCCTTTCTGATATAAAGAAAAGCTATAAACGGCATCATTCCATCCTCCATCATTCATGCCTTAATCATAAACATGTTGGGTGGAGCTGGAGTAGCATTTTGCCACCAAGAAGTCATGAGCCTGAGGGAAAGACCTAGAGAATCACAAAGACACCAGCCCTTAGATCACTGAGTTGTTAAGCCAAGACTAGAAACAAGCTAATTCTCACAAAATAATAACCCTATTTTTCCACACCACCACACACTGGGCTGTTACTCGCAGCCAAAAGCATCCCCAACTGACACACATGACATACACTGAACTTCCATTTAAGGTCTAGATCACGGGCACTTGAAAGCACCAGGCAGACAGTTGTCAGAGCCACACCTGATCGCCACAAGAGGCCCAATACCTCCAAGCAAGATACAAAGCCACGGAATATGACGCACCAGACACAGAGCACACTGACTTCAAAGGATACTGAAATTCAAGTTTCAAGGGCACATGCTCCACATGGCAAGCGCTGAATTGCCGTCAGGCTGATTGTGTCTTGGGCAACTCTACGTGGGCTGCATCAGGGAGCAGCTGTGGGGCGTTATCTCAGAGATGATCAGTGACTCCTCCAGTCAAGCCTGGGCCAGCTGGTTGATAACAACCACCACCACGTGCTGGGCACACCCTACATGCCAGGCACCAAGCTGGGCACTCTGTATGCATCATCTCCTTTCACCTTCACATCCACCCTACAAGCCAGGACCCCAAACACAGATGGCAAAGCTGAAGCCCACAGAAGTCAAATGACTGTGTGCACTGATCCACCCAGGATTTATTTAACTTCTATTGTGTGTGAGGCAATGTTTTAAGAGCTGAGGACACAGGAGTTAAATGGAGCTAAAATCCTACTAGAAAGTGGGCACACGGTGGCTCACACCTGTAATCCCAGCACTTTGACAGGCTGAGACAGGCAGATTGCTTGAGCTCAGGAGTTTGAGACCAGCCTGGGCAACATAACGAAGCCCTGTATCTACCAAAAATACAAAAAATTAGCCAGGGATGGTGGCACACACCTACGGTCCCAGCTACTCATGAGGCAGAAGTGGAAGGATCATTTGAATCTGGAAGGCAGAGGCTGCAGTGAGCTGAAATCGTCCCACTGCACTCCAGCCTGGGTGACAGAGTGAGACCCTATCTCAAAAAAAAAAAAAAAAAAAAGAAAAGAAAACAAGAAGAAACAAACTGCATAAAATTAAACTAATCAATGAAAAAGTATTAGAGAGTTATACTAGCAAGAAAAAAACAAAGAGAGTGATGGGATAGGGAGGAAGCAAGAAGGCTGTTTTAGCCAAGGCAGCCACTGAGGTCTGTCTACACAGGTGACATTTGAGCTAAGCCCTCTATAAAGAGAAGGAGCAGCTATGGAAAGATATGGCAGGCCAGTGTTCCAGACAGTGCAACAGCAAGGGGAGAGGCTCTGAAGCAGGACAAGCTTAGCTCTAGTCTTCCAGGACTAGAAGGAAATTCGCTGTGGCTTGACCAAAAAGCAAAAAAGCAGAAGGAACAATCAAACAGGCATGCAGGGGCCAGTCACATAGGATCTGGTGGACCATGATATTGGGGTTAGATTCTGTTCAAATTTGAATTCTAATTGGTGGAACTGTGATCCTGACTCAAGACTTCTAAAGCCTACGTTGGGGCAACGATACAAGGATCCTGCCTTACCCCCAGGTCTGGTGATAAAATCAGTCAGCAGATCCTTTGAGTCACACAGTAAAATAACTAACTCTTCAGAAAGTACCATTAGTATTTTTTCTGGAAGAGGATTTGATCAGGAATAGCCTAGACTCCATTCCCACCAGTCATGAGGCATCTCAAGGCATCACTCAGGATGGCTATAGACCCATCTGGCCAAGGTCCTCCCACACCTCTGGACACCTGCGTCTATCAATCAAATGCTCTTTGTTTCAGAATCCAGGGTTTGGATTCTGCTCTTCCCTCCCTAACACCAGAATAGAAAAGTCAGGCTTGCTTTCTTCCTTTTTCCAAGTATGAGACCTGACAGTTCTGCCTGCTCTTGAGCAATGCCAACTGGAAACCTGACAGGGTTCCCCGCACTGGAAATGCCTTTGCTATTTTTTTCTCATTATAACAGCAATTCATGTAGGAAAAAAAAATAGAATAACAAATCAGGAAAAAATGTACAAAGAAAATAAAAATCTCTATCATCTCCCTACTGATAATTTTTTAATGCAGTGCTTCTCAAACTTCAAGGTCCACAGAGACCTCAGGTCTCATGGACACCTAGTTAAAAAGCAGCAATGGGCCAGGCACAGTGGCTAACACCTATAATCCCAGCAACTTTGGGAGGCCAAGGTGGGCAGATCACATGAGCTCAGGAGTTCAAGATCACCCTGGCCAATATGGCAAAACCCCATCTCTACTAAAAATACAAAAATTAGCCATGCATGGTAGCGGGCACCTGTAATCCCAGCTACGCAGGAGGCTAAGGAAGGAAAATCACTCAAACCTGGAAAGCAGAGGTTGCAGTGAGCCAAGATCATGCCAATGCACTCCAGCCTGGGCAACAGAGTGACAGTGTCTCAAAAATAAATAAATAAAGAGAGAAAGGGCGTTTAATAGGCTGCAGGGAGCACAAGTGGTCTCGGGACCGCTTATCAACTAGAGGAACAGTGGAGGGAGCACTCAGCTGGAAGTCACAAGGCCTGAGCTCTCATCCTGCCTGGCCTGTTTGCTAGCCTTGTGACAGGGACAGTCACTTCCCTTGTCTGGGCACTGGTTTCTGCATGAGATCATGCCCTCCTAGCTCTACAGTCTGCTAATGTGGGGATTCTGCAGAGACAGGAGGACAGAGCAATCAACACTACCAGTCTCCTTCTTACTTTCTCCCTCTGAATCCAGTGGAGAGTACAACACCCCGCCAGGGCCCAGAAGAATCTGCCAGCTTCAAATGTTGCTGTCACTCAGAGAGAAGCAAGAAGAATGTGCCACCTACTGAGTCCCAACCACAGGCTAAGTCATGAAATGACTGACCTATTTAATCCTTGACAACGAAGGAAAAGTGGCTGCATTCAATAGAGAGAACTGTGACTCAGGGAGGAAAAGACCTTTACCCAAGGCTAGACCCTTGGGAAGTGGCCAAGGGGGAATTCAATTCCAAGTCCATGGACTCCAGACCTTCCAGCTGCTAAGCCCTACTCACCCTCAATCTCTGTAACAAACTGCAGCAGTGGCCCACTGCAAATTCAGCAAACACTTCACAACACAGGAGCAATCCAACCCCATATTCCTGCATCCTCATCTCCATGGGCAGCCCCCAGCCAACACCCAACCAGGTGAACGAGAGCAGGCTTCCTTTAAATTTCTCATTTAGATCACCATCAAAATGAAAACAGAAAATGGAAAGGCACCCCAGGGAATACCTCCAGGGATCCACAAACCTGTCTGAGAAAAACAGTCAGCTGTCACCCCCTAACTCTACTCAGAAACCTCATGTGCATGGGAAAGTCAGTCACCTAGTTGGGACTGTCTTTAATGTTTTGTTGTTGTTGTTTATTTGTAGACAGACTCTTGCTCTTGTCGCCTAGGTTGGAGGGCAGTGGCACGATCAGGACTCAACGCAACCTACACCTCCTGGGTTCAAGCAATTCTACTGCCTCAGCCTCTGGAGTATCTGGGATTACAGGTGTACACCACCACACCCAGCTAATTTTTGTATTTTTAGTAGAGACGGGGTTTCACCATGTTGGCCAGGCTGGTCTCAACTCCTGACCTCAGGTGATCCGCCTGCCTTGGCCTTCCAAAGTGCTAAGATTACAGGTGTGAGCCACAGCGCCTGGCCTTTGTCTTTAATGTTTAGAACCCTCAGGATATAATGTTTAACATTTAGAGTCCTTTGGGTCCTACGTTAATTTTTACCACAAACCTCTAGCCTTCTGTCTCAGATTGGCATTCAAGCTGCAGTGACTTACTGGAGAGAGAGCAGAAATTAAGAACAAGAGCCGGGCGGGGTGGTTCAGGCCTGTAATCTCAGCACTTTGGGAGGCCAAGGTGGGTAGATCACCTGAGGTCAGGGGTTCCATACCAGCCTGGCCAACATGATGAAACCCCATCTCTACTAAAAATACAAAATTAGATGGGCATGGTAGAGCCTTCCTATAGTCCTAGCTATTTTGGAGACTGAGGCAGGAGAATCGCTTGAATCTGGGAGGTGGAGGTTGCAGTGAGCCAAGATTGCACCATTGCACTACAGCCTGGGCAACCAGAGAGAAACGAACAAACAAACAAACAAACACAATAGCCTGGGTTAGAATCTTACTCCACCAGCCATGTGATCATGAGCAAGTTAGTTAACCTCCCTGCTTCAGGCTCTTCATCAGAGAACCCACCTCTTCGGAGGATGAAATGAGTGAAATTGTGTTGTGCGTGCCTAGAACTATGCCTGGTTTATACCAAGCACTTAATAAAATTAGCTATCATCACTGTTGTTGGCAACCCTTACCCCAAGGTATCAAGACCTCTGGCTCCAAGAAGTCCTTTCAACTAGCTACCTTCTCTCCAAAGCCCAGGCAAATCAATTCAATCCAGACCTCTGTGTTAGCGCCCTGGGAGATGAAAGGGCGAAAGAGGCCCCTGGCACGTGGGGAGGGGTAAACAAGCAGGACACAACCAGGCGCCCCGGCTATATTCCTTCTTAACCCTCACATCCGGGAGCTCCAAGTAAACTGGCTCCCATTCCACAGAGGGGGGCCACAGAATTTTTTTTCTTTTCTTTTTTTTTAGACAGAGTCTCACTCTGTCACCCAGGCTGGAGCGCAGTAGCACCATCTCTTCTCACTGAGGCCTCTCCCTCCCAGGTTCAAGCAATTCTCCTGCCTCAGCCTCCTGAGTAGCTAGGATTGTAGGCGCCCACCACTGTACCTGGCTAATTCTTTTTTTATTTTTAGTAGAGATGAGGTTTTGCCATGTTGGTCAGGCTAGTCTCAAACTTCTGACCTCAAGTGATCCGCCCACCTTGGCCTCGCAAAGTGCTGAGATTACAGGTGTGAGGCACCACACCCAGCCCACAGTAAAATAGTGGTATTTCGATGCCACTGAATGCAGTGGTAAAGGCAACGCTAGACATTTCTCTGGTGAGATCCTTGTAACACATTAAGCAGGTACAAGCAAGAAAAGAAAAAGAAGGCAATGCTCTTTGAGTACCCACTGTGTGCAAGGAATTCTGCCCAAGGGCACATAGTCAAACAAGTGCTGCAGTGGAGGCTGAGCCTGCTCTCCCTAACTCTCACCGAGCAAGTGGGAACCTGAGCTGTGCTTGCAAAAATGGGAAGAACCAGAACAGGTAAATCCATAGAGACAGAAGGCAGACAGGTGGTTTCCAGGGGCTGGGGTGGTAGGGGGATGGGTGACGCTTAAAGGATATGGAGTTTCCTTTGGGTGACGAAAATGTTTTGAAACTAGACAGAGGTGCTGGTTGCATAACAATGCAAATGTACTAAATGCCCCTGAATTGCTTGCTTTAGAACAACAGTTAATTCTTTGTTTTGTAATTTTCAACTCAATTTAAAAAAAAAAAAAAAAATTAAGAGATGGAATCTGGCTCTGTCATCCAGGCTGGAGTACAGTATCGTGATCATAGCTCACTGCAGCTTCCAACTCCTGGGCTCAAGCAATCCTCCCACCTCAGCTTCTCAAGTAGCTAGGATTACAGGAGTACACCACCATACTTGGTTAATTTTGCATTTTTAGTAAACACAGGGTCTCGCTATGTTGCCTTGGCTGGTCTTCAACTTTGGGCCTCAAATGATCCTCCTGCCTCAGTCTCCCAATGTGCTGAGATTACAGGTGTGAGCCACCACTCTTGGCCCAGTATTTTTATGAGAAGGACTGCAACAGGTAGATGTTGGCTGAGAAAATGTTCCTATTCTAAAGAACTACAGTAGGATTCTTGCAAGGGCTGGACAAGGCAACTGCATGGAGAACCCAGTCCCTGTATTGAATCACACAGAAGAAAAGCTACTCCCAGTGGGGTGCGGTGGCTCATCTGTAATCCCAGCACTTTGGGAGGCCAAGGCAGGTGGAACACTTGAGACCAGGAGTTCAAGACCAGCCTGGCCAACATGGTGAAATCCCATCTCTACTAAAAATATAAAAATGAGCTAGGCTTGGTGACAGATACCTGTAATCCCAGCTACTCGGGAGGCTGAGGCAGAGGTTGCAGTGAGCTGAGATAGTGGCAATGCACTCTACCCTGGGCAATAAGAGCAAAACTCCATCTCAAAAAAAAAAAAGAGACAAAAAACTAGCCAGGCATGGTGGCACGTGCCTGTAATCCCAGCTACTTGGGAGGCTGAAGCTGGAGAATCACTTGAACCTGGGAGACGGAGGTTGCGTAAGCCAAGATCACAGCACTGCACTCCAGCCTGGGTGACAAGGCGAGATTCTGTCTCAAAAGAAAATAAAATAATAAAATAAACATACATATTTATATTTATATGTATTTATATTTTTAAAAATAAAATAAATAAATTTAATAAAAACCATGCCTTGCTTCCACTGGCCCCTCCAGCTGTGCCCCTATCTCCCTGCTGTCTGGCATAGCTCTTTCTTCATGAGACAGCAAGTCTCATGGCAAAGGGCCTCAGTGACAGCCACCTCTGTCTCAATCGCTGTTCCTAGCTCTGGCCCTATTGCTCTCATTTCCTTAACCCCGCGCTGAATTATCTACACAGGGGCTAGAACACCTGGAAGCACAGATGAATACACAATAAATGACTTACTGGTATTACAGGATACACACAATGATGTTACATGATTCATTCAACGTGCCCCACAAAACTGCAACAGACACAGCATTTCTGTCAGCCCTGCGTGTGCATCTGTGGCAGGCTGCCTCACATGATTTGTTTCTGATTTTCACTGAACCTGTACCTTTAGCATTTCCTAGAATGGGGGTCAGCAAACTCCTTCTGGAAAAAAATCACACAGTCAGTATTTTAGGCTTTGTGGGCCATAGGGTTGCTGTCACTACCCAACTCTGCCACTGCAGTGTGAAAAGAAGCCATAGATAATGTGTAACGAAGAGTTCTTGGGCCGGATTTAACAGCCCACTGCCCTGGCAGAAACAATGAAATAAGGATGGCAGATTAAAAATTAATATAATAGTGTCTGTGTGTGAAGACCTCATAGCCACCGTGCAGTTAGATGGTTAAATGTGAGCGATCCCCAGCACACTGTAGACCAAGCCTGCATCATAATCACGCTCTCATCTTCCCTCGCCCTCTAACCAAGGCCCCACATACAGAGTCTTACAGGGAACAAAGACATCATCATCCTGTTGTCACTGCAGAATTCATCCTCAGGTGCACTGACAGGCATCTGGGATGCCTAGTGCTACCAGCCCAATGATGACTTTAGTGTTGTCGCTACTGTTTCACTCCCATCCCACCCCTCAAAATCCACTACCATTCCACATAAAGAAACTGAAAGAAAGAAGCAAAGAAGAAGGGTGGCAGAAAGGCTGCCCAATATATGCCTGGGGCACACACAAGACCAAGAGGGACCCCTGCAATGCCCACGGGGTCAGGTGGGGCATGGAAATGAGCGGGGTGGGCTCGCAAGGCACAGATCACAAGAGCAGAGCAGGTGTCCCTCTAGACATGGCAGCTGCTACTCAGCTCTGGCAGACAGTAGCTCATGGCAATACCAGCAATTGTCCCATCTCCTGGTTTTTCAAGAGAGGCTGAAAATCCAGGTTTTTTGTGTCAGTTAGTTGGCACCTAATTATACGCATGTTAGAAAAGTACTCCAGCCAACTCTGCATGAACCAAGCACAACACACCTTGGGCCAGTTCTGCCGCCAAGCCGCCATAACGACATATATGTTTAACCCTTACATCCATCTGGAAGGTGGGGGCTGGCCACCCTGGTGAAACACACAAAGGAACTGAGGCTTGGAGACATTGATCATTCACCTAAAGAACAGCTTAGAGGTGACAGACTCAATATTTTACCCCAAACCTTGTACCTTCAACCTCCACAAAACCAGGCTCACTCCTTGAATGGCTCAATCTTAGCACAGAAAAAGGGCTCCGTCATCAAAGTGCCACCAAAGAAAAACCAACCTTCTGATGGCCAGCTCAAACATTCCCTTCTCAGAAAAACCTTCCTGTCAACAATCCTCCAGGGGCACACTACTCTGTCTCTACACAGTGCTCCCATAGCAGTCCGACCACAGCAGAGGTGTAATCGCTGCTGCAGAAGGGATTACGCACTGTGAGCTCACGGGGACAGAGACGGGAGCCTCACGAACTCCCCAGTCACAGAAGGAACTCAACAGTTGTTGAATCTAGATTCTGGCACGGTTCACTTCTGTGGCTCCTCAAGTGGCTGCTTTAAATAAAGAGGACCAGAACTGGCCAGGACACAGCAGCTGCCTCATCTCTGTCACGGGCAGAGGGAGGTGGTGGTTTTATCTATTCCAGCCTTAGCACACGTACAGATAAAATGGACAATCACTCTTTCCCAAAGTCAGGGCGCTGGCTCCCAGTATTGTGGGGTGAAGTGGCACAGCTGGCCCAGGACAAAAGGACAGACCGTCTGCCACCACGCAATGCAAAGAGGAGACTCTACATGCAGCAGATGGGCTTGGGCCATCTATGTGGGCTTATGGGGTCTAAGATCAAAGACAAAATAAATGAGCAAAGAATGGAGACCATCAATTTACGTTAGAGCAGGTCAGGCACAGGGGCTCACACCTGTAATCCCAGCACTTTGGGAGGCCGAGGTGGGCGGATCACTTGAGGTAAGGAGTTCAACACCAGCCTGGCCAACATGGTGAAACCCAGTCTCTACTGAAAACACAAAAATTAGACAGGGCATGGTGGCGCCCATCTATAATCCCAGCTACTGGAAAGGCTGACGCAGGAGACTCACTTGAACCCAAGCAGGTAAAGGTTGCAGTGAGCCAAGATTGCACCACTGCATTCCAGCCTGGGCAACAGAGTGAGACTCTATCTCAAAAAAAAATTTTTTTTACTCTAGTAACAGGGATTGGGAAACATTTTCTGTAAAGAGCAAAACAGTAAATATTTTAGGCTTCTTAGCCCAAAATCTCCTGAAACTGATAAGCAACTTCAGCAAAGTCTCAGGATACAAAATCAATGTACAGAAATTACAAGCGTTCCTATACACCAATAACAGACTTAAAGAGAGCCAAATCAAGAACGAACTGCCATTCACAATTGCTACAAAGACAATAAATACCTAGGAATACAACTAACAAAGGATGTAAAGGGCCTCTTCAAGGAGAACTACAAACCACTGTTCAAGGAAATCAGAGAGGACACAAACAGATGGAATAACATTCCATGCTAATGGTCAGGAAGAATCAATATTGCAAAAATGGCCATATTGCCCAAAGTAATTTGTAGATTCAGCGCTATCCCCATCAAGCTACCTATGACCCTCTTCACAGAACTGGAGGAAACCACCTTAAACTTCATATGGAACCAAAAGAGAGGCCGCATAGCCAAGTCAATTCTAAGCAAAAAGAACAAAGCTGGAAGCATCACGCTACCTGACTTCAAACTATATTACAAGGCTACAGTAATCAAAACAGCATGGTACTGGTACCAAAACAGAGATATAGACCAATGGAACAGAACAGAGGTCTCGGAGGCAATGCCACACATCTACAACCATCCGATCTTTGACAAACCTGACAAAAACAAGGAATGGGAAAGGATTCCCTGTTTAATAAATGGTGTTGGGAAAACTGGCTAGCAGTGTGCAGAAAGCAGAAACTGGACCCCTTCCTGACACTTTACACTAAAATTAACTCCAGATGGATTAAAGACTTAAACATAAGACCTAACACCACAAAAACCCTATAAGAAAACCTAGGCAAAACCATTCAGGACATAGGCATAGGCAAAGACTTCATGATTAAAACACCAAAAGCATTGGCAACAAAAGCCAAAATAGACAAATGGGATCTAATTAAACGTCAGAGCTTCTGCACAGCAAAAGAAACAGTCAGAGTGAATCGGCCACCAGCAGAATGGGAAAAAAATTTTGCAATCTACCCATCTGACAAAGGGCTGATATCCAGAATCTACAAAGAACTATAACAGATTTACAAGAAAATAAACAAATCCATTCAAAAGTGGGCGAAGGATATGAACAGATACTTTTCAAAAGAAGACATATATGAGGCAAACAAACATATGAAAAAATGCTTATCATCACTGGTCATTAGAGAAATGCAAATCAAAACCACATTGAGATACCATCTCACGCCAGTTAGAATGGCAATCATTAAAAATTCTGCAGACAACAGATGCTGGAGAGGATGTGGAGAAATAGGAACACTTTTACACTGTTGGTGGGAGTGTAAATTAGTTCAACCATTGTGGAAGACAGTGTGGCGATTCCTCAAGGACCTAGAAATAGAAATTCCATTTCACCCACCAATCCCATTACAGGTATTGATCAACTTACGACCTATGCAACTTACGACCATTTGACTTTACAACCTCAATCGCTAGCCAGGACTGCTCCTCCTCTGGAAGCACAAACATTGCCCAGCTGGGCGTATGACAGTGCGGACCAGCTTCCGGCAGCACTACCATCTCCGCGTGCACCATTTCAACTGTACATATAGCCTACTCGATTTACGACCAAATCGTGTTACGATCGGTCTGCCGGTCCCAATCATGGTCGTAAGTCGAGCACTAGCTGTACTGGGTATATATCCAGAGGACTATAAATCATTCTATTAGAAAGACACATGCACACATATGTTCAGTGTGGCACTGTTTACAATAGCAAAGACGTGGAACAAACTCAAATGCCAATGTATGATAGATTGGACAGAGAAAATGTGGCATATATACACCATGGAATATTATGCAGCCATAAAAAACGATGAGTTCGTGTCCTCCGTAGGGACGTGGATGAACCTGGAAGCCATCATTCTCAGCAAACTGACACAAGAACAGAAAAACAAATATCGCATGTTCTCCCTCATAGGCGGGTGTTGAACAATGAGAACACATGGACACAGGGAGGGGAGCATCACACACTGGGGTCTGTTGGTGGTGACTAGGGGAGGGACAGAGGGGGTAGGGAGGTTACGGAGGGATAACATGGGGAGAAATGCCAGATATAGGTGACGGGGACGGAGGCAGCAAACTACATTGCCATGTACGTACCTATGCAACAATCCTGCATGTTCTGCACATGTACCCCAGAACCTAAAGTGCAATGAAATATATATCTATTTTAGGCTTTGCAGACCATACACTCTCTGTCACAGTTACTCAATTCTGCCATTGTATAGCCTGAAAACAACCACCGATAACAGTAAATGAATAGACATGGCTTTGTTCCATAATAAACTTTATTTGCAAAACAAGAGGCTAGCCCAGTTCACCAGTTCTTGCTGTAGAAGAAAAACACTATCATGGCAATGTGCAAAAACTTTAAAGTGACAATAGGCCAAGCATGGTGGCTCACACCTGCAATCCCTGCATTTTGGAAGGTAGAGGCCAGAGAATAACTTGAGCCTAGGAATGTGAGACCAGCCTGGATAACACAGTGAGACCTCGTCCCTACAAAAAGATTTTTAAAAATTAGCTGTGTGTGGTGGCTCACATCTGTAGTCCAAGCTATGAGGGAGGCTGAGGTAGGAAGATCACTTGAGCCTATAGGTCAAGGCTGCAGTAAGTAATGATTGCACCACTGCACTCGAGCCTGAGCGACAGAGCAAGATCCCATCTCAAAAAAGGAAAGAAAGAGTATCTTCCCTCTTGGCTGGAGAAATGCAAATTATATGCTTACTAATAATCACCACATGGCACCATTATATAGCTACAAATTAACCAAGAATTTTTTTTTTTTTTTTTTTTTTTTTTTGAGATGGAATCTTACTCTGTCAGCCAGGCTGGAACGCAGTGGCATGATTTCGGCTCACTGCAACCTCTGCCTCCCACTTAAAGTGATTATCCTGCCTCAGCCTCCTGAGTAGCTGGGATTACAGGCACCCACCACCACACCCAGCTAATTTTTATATTTTTAGTAGAGACGGTGTTTCACCATGTTGGTTAGGCTAGTCTAAAACCCCTGACCTCAGGTGATTCACCCGCCTCAGCTTCCCAAAGTCCTGGGATTACAGGTGTGAGCCACCACACCCAGACTCCAAGAAACATTTAAAGTGAAATTCCCCAATGCTGGTAAAGCTATGATAAATCAAGTACACACCACTGGTAACAATCTATGGGTACAGTAAGTTCTGAAAAGCAATATGGCAATGCATATCAAGAGCTACAAAAAATATCAAATTCCTTTTTGACACCTTGGAAAGCAAGCTAGAAAAGGAACAGGGAAATGAGAAAAGATAGAAATAACAATTTAACCTGGCCCTCTACGTTCCAGGTCCTGAGAAAGGACAATACATTCATTACTTGCTTTAATTTCCATTTCCTAATAAGAGAATTAAGAGTCGGAGAAGTTCAAAAATCTGCCCAGGCCAGGAGCAGTGGCTCACACTTATAAACCCCAACACTTTGGGAGGCCAAGGTGGGCAGATCACGAAATCAAGAGATTGAGACCATCCTGGCCAACATGGTGAAACCATGTCTCTACTAAAAATACAAAAATTAGCTGGACGTGGTGGTACAAGCCTGTAGTCCCAGCTACTCTGGAGGCTGAGGCAGGAGAATCGCTTGAACCTGGGAGGCTGAGGTTGCGGTGAACTGAGAACATGCCACTGCACTCCAGCCTGGGCAACAGAGCAAGACTCCATCTCAAAAAAAAATAAATAAATAAAGCTGGGCATTGTGACACACACCTGTAGTCTCAGCCTCTTAAGGAGCTGACAATGAGGAGGGAGGATCACTTGAGACCAGGAATTTAAGGCTACAGTAAACTATGACTGCACCACTGCACTGCAGCCTGGGTGACAGAGTGAGACCCTGGCTCAAAAAAAAAAGACAGAAAACAAAACACTGCCCAAGTTCTTCAATATGGAGTTAAATCCACAACCTGTCTGCATGCAAAGCTTCTCCACAATAACACAATGACTTCCTGAGCATCAATGGGCACAAAGATTTTTACTGCAGCGTCCTAGTATAGGAGTTGTCAACTATAGCCAAATCCAGCTGCTGACTTTACCCTAATAAAGCTTTATTGGAACAAAGCTACATCCTTTCATTTACACATGGTCTATGGCTGCC